TAACTTTTGAAGATATAGCAATAAAATGAATTCAACCACTAAGAGGCGCTGCAGTGAACATAAGTGCATGATGTTCATATTGAGGTCAGGATTTTTATCCACCTTAAGTCCTGGAGCTTTCCACCAGTTATTTTACCTTGTATGGAGTTTGTTAAACATTTTTGTTTTAGGCTGCTCTAAATCTAATAATTAATTGGACTTAAAAAATTTTTCTCTATTATTTTGAGCATATAACTTTATGAGGAAATTATATTATGTATATGTACTCACACAAAATCCCTTTTAAACCAAAATTGTTTTGTGGTTTTCTAAAGTTACAGTAGGATAAATGGCAGGACTGGTCCACCATAACAAAATGAACAATAATGGGTAGATTGTAAGAAGAAAAAAAACCTACACTTTAACTAGTTTTAAACCTCTAATATAAGTCAGTTAGGTGTCTAATGTGCTGACTACACTCTTTAGCAGTAATCAAAGCTTAAGGATTAAACTAGAGTACAGATCTCCAAGACAAAACAGATTATGTAGCAGTTTGATGCAAATCTTGTGAAATACATAAAACCTCCTCAGGAACATTGGTTTTCCACTGTTTGACAAGACCCCATTAGTGAATCTCAGCTACAAAAACTCAATTGATCAACTTTTTATTTTAATATACACATTGTTTAATGAACTATAGGATTGATTCAATGTTTTTGCATGCTATTTTTTAAACCAGTCGTTTTCATTATGCCATTCAAGGTATGTCATCTTCAGGCTTTTGTGTTCTGTATTTAATCCAGTAACTAAGAACTTCACATTTTTTATCCATGTAACCCAAAATCTAAAATGAAAATCCAAACAAATGTAAATATTGTATACGAGGCCCCACTGCCACCTTAAATCCTTGACTGTTGACAGCACTTCAATTAGCAGGTTTAGTTTGAATTCTTTAGCTAAATTTAAATTAATGAGAACAGTAGGTATTTATAAGCCATCTTGCATTTAATGTCTACCACCATCCAGCATGTTTTTGATTTTGAACACACTTCATTAAAATGAATGTATTAATGACAGAAAATGTTAATCCATTTATTTTAATCCTTTTGGCAGTGACACAAAAACCATAATCTATTAGTGGAAAGTCTAGGACTGAAATAAAACAACAAAGACAGCTTTTAAACAAGATTTTCTTTATTAGACAGTGAGACAAGCTGGTCTGTGGGCTGCCATGTTTATATAGTCTTGCCTAAAACTTCTGGAACTGTTTCTTGGCTCCAGCAGCCTTGGTCACCTTGAGGACGTTGAATCTCACCGTCTTACTGAGGGGTCGGCACTCTCCAACAGTCACAATGTCTCCAACTGTGACGTCTCTGTAGGTAAGAAGTTTAAAAGATGATTAATTTAAACATGGTTTTAAACACAAGTAATCAACTGCTCCAACTTAAAGGGTATAAAGTAGAAGTGCATCAGCGTTTGCCAAAGGCAATGTCGTCAAAGCTTCCTGAGCTTGGAAGACCATCGTGAGAAAAAGCATCATTTGCAGCTAATATGGATTCTTTGGACAGGATTAGTATTTAAACTAGCATTCCAACAAACATGGAAGACTTATTATTAATGTTCCCTGTAGAAATACCTAAGACATCATTTTTACAATGAGCAACAATATTAAAATCAATAACAGCTCAAATCGAGTAGAAAACAATACATGATTATGTAACCTAAATAGTTACATAATCACCACTGTTAAAGTGAGCAGAGTGTAAAACGTGCATTACCTGAAGCATGGTGACAGATGGACAGAGAGGTTCTTGTGCCTTTTCTCAAAGCGGTTGTACTTGCGGATGTAATGCAGATAGTCGCGTCTGATAACGATGGTCCTCTGCATCTTCATTTTGGTCACCACGCCTTTGGAACAGACAGAGCTTCAGCTTTGTGTCAACACTGTAGAGCTAAGTCAAGATCCCACTTCAGAGGATGATACCGCTTTCACTTTTGTCAATAATCAACATCAGTTTTGCCATTAGGCACTGTCGTCAGAACCCATAGGGGCTTGGAAGACCATCGTGAGAAAAGCATCATTTGTAGAATAATGACAAAGGTGAAGTCGGGTATAAACTCCATCCTACAATTGTAGCTTTAAAGGTAGAATGAATCCCAGTTTGAAGTCAAATAAAGTTTGACTTCAAACTTTATTTGAAGTCAACACAAATTTATGAAATAGTTATACAGGTAATGAGTCTGTGGCTGCCGTTTAAGCTGCAGTCACTTTATTAAGCTACTGCTAATACTACACCCAGAATCATTCATTGTTTTTTCCCCAAAAAAATTAACTTAGACAATTAAGCTATGTTTTTTGTTTTGTTTAAATTGTTGTCTGAAATAATTATGCTTGATTTACCTGAAGATGAGTAATGCACTTTTAACCAAAACCATTTTTAAAATGTGCAGGTATATTTTAAATTTCAAATATGAACAGATTTGATAGAAGAGCAAATGCTTAGTCAACCCAGTCTCCGTCAAAAATCTCTTTAGTTGTAAAAAATGTGGCTATCCTACTGAAAAAAAGAAGCTGTTGGATAAGTTACAGCAGCTAACATAAAAGGCAAGTGTGCAGGTTTGCTGGAAATAATATTTTTACCTGAGAGGATACGGCCACGGATAGAGACATTCCCAGTGAAGGGGCATTTCTTATCAATGTAAGTGCCATCAATAGCCTGGAGAGAGGAAACAAGTAAATTGTTACTGGGATAATCACTCAGTAACCCCACAAGACAAAAATGGATCAGATGTTGCATCAGTGTTGCCAAAAGGCATTGTCGTCAGAACCCTAAAGGTTTGGAAGACCATCGTGAGAAAAAGCATCACTTGCAAAATTATAAACAAATACGTCCGATTTTACCAGCTTCGGAGAAGGTTTGTTACCTCTCTTGGGGTTTTGAAGCCAAGCCCGACACTCTTGTGATAGCGGGGGATCTTCTCTTTAGCCTCCTTGCCACCCTCAACAGCCAGAACACGCTTCTTGTTCTGGAAGATTGTGGGCTGTTTCTGATAAGCCCTCTCGGTCTGCAAAAAAAATACAAATTTAAAAGATTTAAATTTGGGTGACGATCACCATCCACATTTCTTTTACACCGCCACAAATGGTAACTAAGTTCGCTAAAATCGACTTCCTGTTTCAGCAAATATTACCGCAGCTAACCGCTTTAGTGACAAATAGATCACATTTAGCAGTGGAAGCAATACAACTGGCAAGATATGCTTTAAGATAGCTTTACATTCTTAACTATAACCTCATCATTAGGCTAACAACGCTAGCATTCCGGCTAATTCAGCATTACACGAGGGTGTGCAGACCGAAATCAAATACCGACTCTAAACAATTAGATTTAACCTGAAATTGCTTTATTCCATAACTTAGGTCAATATTGTAATGTTCATGTCATTTTAGGTGACAAATAACTTTAATAAAATGCCTATAAATCGATTTAAATTCACCACGCCGTCTTCAACTACATACTTGAGCATCCGCCATCTTGCCAGCCGAGTTGCGAAGAGGCCTGAGCATGCGCGTGATGGACGGAAGACGACGGAACGCAGGAAGTTACGTTCAAGTGAAGTTACGTGAAATAAAATTTGGCGTATGTGAATTACATTAAGTACATAAAACAATTAAAGTTGTGAAAAGCCTGTATTTAAAACTCCTATGATTGTATTTGCGAGTGAATCTATTTTTTATTCATTAAAGACTTCACAAACCAGAAGTGTAACATTTACAATAGTCGCTCAAATGAAAACATTTCTTAAAAAAAGAAGAAATAAACAGGTTTAATATAGCAAAGAAGTGTAATGCGACCTTATATGAGGTTTGAAGTTGTGATTGTACTGGTTGTAAATAATTATTTTCAAATCGGATTACATGTCATACCCTACAACCCATGATTTAGCATACTGTTTCTTGTTTCCAGACCTGTTTTAACAATGTAATTAGTCTGATGTGTAAATTATAGGTTAATTTATTTTATTATTTCTTATTCACTTCATTTAAATTAAAGATGCCTTTGTAATCAACCTTAAAAGTCTGTCCATACCACAAGATTTCTCCATACTGACTTATCTCTTTGTACTTAAACAGTGTGCAGAAGCAAGTCATTGCAATCAGCACAAGATCATTTACTTTTGGGTTGTTGTTCTTTTTGTTGTTGTTGTTGTTTTGTTGTTGTTGTTTGTTTTGTTTTTTTTTTGTTTTTTGCTTTGTTGGAAAGATGTACATTACAATGAATATGGAAAATGTCAGTGGTACAAAGTGTTGCAAAGAGTTACAGATGTGTAAAATATAGTACAATAGGGTATATAAATAATGAATAAAGAAATACCTTTATTAGACATTTTAAATAAATCCTATAATAAATATACACATTTGTGTTACTATTAATAAAGTCAGTGCTTTCTTATTGTCGAGAAAGTTCCATTCTGAACAGACAACTTGAAATCTGGGGATTTATACAGCAAATGTCTGTCATGCATAAAATACATAATTATATATACATATTAGTATGTGTAATCTTATACTGACTACTCAAAGGATTTGTTTAAAATGTCATGTAAGTATTTAGACACATTGTCTTTACAATATGAGGCATTTGCCTGAAGCCTGTTTTTTGCATGAATCTTATATTGATTGTGATTCTCTTTCTAAACCAGTCTGATTACACAAACTACAACTGTAAAGTTTTTAATAAACACAAGCTATATTTTCTATATTTGATTCAAGCTTTTTGCAAAAAAAAAAAAACAAACAAAAAAAACCTCTCTGCAGGAAAGGCTATTACAGAGAATTTCAAACACATTCCTTTTAACTTTATCCAGGCCTTACTTCTTTTGGTTCAAGTCTTCTCTGCAATTTTGGGCAGGCATGCGTTTCTGGGCATAACACCTGTATGCGTTTCTGGGCATAACACCGGTTTTAGATCTCGCGAGTTTTCACGACATAGACGCGATGTCATAAATCAGCTGTACTTGGATGAGAAATGAAAAGGTCAAATTTATATGCGGAAATGTTAGAAAACAACATGGCTTCGGGAGGAAAAGGAGACGATCAAGACACAGGTTATTCGAAAATACAACTTGTAACAACATTCCTAACAGTGTGATATATTTAAGATAACTTTCTTATGTTTAGCGGTTTGTGTAGCCTACGGGAGTTGCGGGCAACTTTACAAATATTATGATACTAAAATTAAAAACCCTTAACTGTAACACCCGGAAAATATAATGGAAAAATGGCCCGCGGGTGTTCTGCTATATGTTAAGGGTGTTTAAACAAATAAAGACAAATGTATAAAATGCCTTTTTATAACTTTTTAAAAAATAAGTAAACTGTTTCATTTTCAATTTAAGCATGAGTTTTACTTTGATTTAGCCATATCGTCATTTCGATGATGTAACTCTTGTCTGATTCTTGTCTTTTAGGATCTTTTAAAGATACCATAGTGAAACAGCTAATTGTGTTGTTAAAGAAGTAAGTATCACTACTGAACTGTTCATGATTGCATATAAAGGAAATAGATGTGTAGAATCAAAGTTCTAGTGTTTCAAATTACGTCTTACCAAAATATTATTAAGTCATTATGTTTCTGTGGGTTGTGTTCCCTTAAGTTTGATGGTATTATTTTTCAGTTAGTGTGATTTATAGTCAGATGGTACCTTCTCTCTCTTCAGATCAGTTCAGTTTCAGTTTCCAATTCCAGTAATGTCTGTTATTGCGAGGTAGACAGATTGGCACCTTCAACTGATGAAGGAAACTGCCAGGAGGACATTTTTCTGTCCTTATTAACTAGCTGGGACTTTTCTTTATACTGTAATCTAGGTGTTGCTGTGGCTGTTTACATTTTTTTTAAATAAGGAAAACAACTTTAAGTGATTATTGAACAGATTCTAATATGCCATAAGCCCATATCAACAATATTGTTATCCTGGTCATGTAGATATATGACATGATTGTACACAGCTACTTTAATTATTTTTGAACAACTTCACAAACTAGCTACTTTCTTGGCAATGTGTCTCATTCTGTTTGCCTGACCTACACCCACCTCGTTCTCCTTTTAGTTTCATCTGGAAGCAGATCGAAAGACGTTCACTGGGTAATGCTGAAATGATTAGGAAAGTACTGGACACACCGCAGCTCAATACCCCACAGATGCAAAAAATATCTCGGTGTCTCCAGGCTGTTGGAGATCAAGTGGATGGAGATGTACAAAGGTGAGCTTACCTTTCTGGTAGGATTGTAGCTCTAATTTAAGCACAAAAGTGGATTTTGAAAAATATAAGTTGTAGAATTAATTGTCTTTCCCTTAACTAAATATGGATTTCCTCCCCGCCCCCACCTCCCTATAGTGCAATGAAAGATCAAACAATGCGTCCCTCATTAGAGAACTACATCAAAGTTGTCCTCGGGATCTTTTCAGACGGTGAAATCAACTGGGGCAGGGTGGTTACAGTATTTTCCTTTACCTGCCTATTTGTTTTGAAGGTAAGTGAAGCACTTGGTTTCTTCTTAGGGAATTTATTGCAGCCATACACATTAGTGTTAAAAGTATTTTTATATTTGATCAACTTTGAGCTTTTTAATTTTAGAAGTATTTGATCATTCTTATTTTAGGAAGCAAGTGTAACTTGTGCTCAAGTAGGTAACAGGTTTATTCAGTTAAATTGAAATATATAAATTCAATTAAACACTTTCCACACGTCTCTCCAGGCATACGAAGACAACATTTTTGACATGATAAAAAACATAATCAACTGGACCGTAGATTATTTCCGGAATACGGTTGTCAACTGGATACGAGATCAAGGTGGCTGGGTAAGAAACTCACTAACAAATCGTGTTTGAGGACGTTGCCAGCTGGTTGTTGAGCTTTGGTCATAAAAAGAAGGTTAGTAATATTCATATGTATATTTTCAGGAGGGGATTTACTCTTACCTTGGCACTCCCACATGGCAAACGGTGGCAGTTTTTCTGGCTGGCGTTCTCACCACCCTTTTCATCACCCACAATGCGAGGCGTCCATGAGGCGCAAACGGAAGAACTATGCAGCAGTTGAACGAGAAGATAATGGGCGGCAAGTCGAGTCAAACAAGAGGATCTCGTATACAGGGAAGGATTCCTGATCTCCCGTTCGAGTGTGAGATTGTGAGTTGGACTAGAAGTGTTCCTGTTTACATACACAAAATCAGGGGATTTTAGAAAAAACAAAAAGTGAACTGAATCATTTTTAGTTGAAAAAGCAGAGTTTCAGTAGATGTCATAACATGTTGAAAATTTATTTACATTTATTTGCACTTTTGGTACTTACTACATTTTCCAAGTGCCTAGAACTGAATATTTTTTTCCCAAGTTGTTTCAGAAACTATCCATACCCAACATACTGTCAGTTCATATTTTGTGGAACAGGCACTACTATCCACTTCCAAGTTTGTGGACACTTTATTTAAAATGTGCTGTTGGTTACACCTTGTGAGTCTATGAGTTAAGCATTTGGCTAATTATATAAATATTAGAGATGTGCCGATCAGGTTTTTTCCTGCTGAT